TAGGGACTACTTGGACCCTTAGGGAAAGGAAGCCGATGCCCGGAAGGCTCCGAAATCCCCGGCCCGCAGCCCGAGCCGGCGGCGGAAAGCGCGGAGCCGAAGCAACGCGCCCAGCCGTGGTTTCTCTAAGTTTAGGGTTTAGGATTTAATTGGGGTTTAGGGTTTAGGATTTAGGGTTTAGGGTTTAGGGTTCACTCCGTTTAGGATTTGGGGTTTAGGGTTTAGGATTTAGGGTTTAGGGCCTCTGAGTCCGCGAGAGAGAGAGAGAGAGAGAGAGAGGGTTTAGGGTTCAGGGTTTAGGGTTTTGGAGGTCGGGGGTTTAGGTTATGATATAGGGTTTAGGGTAGGGCTTCATAGGATTTTTGCTCGTGTTGTTCGGGTTCCTTTTGTTTTTATCGTTTGGGGTTTAGGGTACAGGGTTTAGGGTCGGGTTTAGGGCTTCGGGGTTCAGAGTTTTAGGGGTTATGTGGCTTTCAACCAGTTTGAAATTGAACACAGTTGTAAGAATAAGTTGGTTACTTGATGTGGTATACTCGCATTGTTCCACACCACCTGTGTCTAGGACATTTTCAGGTGGGTAGTTACCGTTATAGGAGCCTTATAGAAGGTCTATATACCTTATGGAAGCCTTATCGAAGCCCTATAAACCCCAAACTCCCCACCTGTAGTTTCCTTTAACTGTGTTATTCCGTGCGACAGGAACGGCTTGAGGATTCTGAGGTTACAGGGTTCGGGGTGTGGGGTCCAGGTTTCAGGGTCTCAGCGTCACGGATTTGGGTCTGGCATGCAAGGGTCAGGGATGCTTGAGCCTTAGAACCATAGTAGGGCACCCCGACAGGCAGAGATATCAGCAGACTATACTGAACAATACTTCTATACTACTACATCAAGGCAAGTTTTGAATATAAGGTACTATGCTGTACTATATTATACTGTGCTGTACTAGCTTATGCTACGTTATTTGTCATATTCTAGTGTGCGGAGGTGGCACGCTGCGAGGGAGAGATGCTGCAAGCTTTGACTCGTCCTGCGCTCACACTCTAAACCCTAAACTCTAAACTCCAAACCCTAAATCCTAGACCCTAAACCCCAAACCCTAAACCCTAAACTCTAAAACACTCTAAACCCTTTTCCCCTAAGCCCTAGACCCTATATGTTCCAAAGTCGCTCGAAGCTGCCTGGAGGTCACCGGAAGCCAGCACGTCGCAGCAGGCCGGCTATGATTTTGGGGCTTGGAGTTTGAAGGGAAGTTTTAGGTTAAGTTTTGGGTTTAGGGTTGATCTGGGACTTTTGGATTTAAGTTTTTGGGGTAAGGTTTTTGTCAGAGTTTCGGGGCTTTGAATAGGGATCTACGGAATCTATGGTTAGGCAGGTTTGGGGGTTAATGTTGCAAGGCGCTTCGGGGTCTAGTGTCTCGGGCTGAGCTACTTCGCGTCATTGCCCGTGCCTCCTGAGACTCCAATCCGGTTATGGGTAACTTGAATTGAAGCAGGCCACCCCTGTGCTCAGACCAGGGCATATATATATATATATACACACACATACACGCATGCCAGAGCACCAAAAGACAGAGTGTCTACACTGTCTACACTCGACAGCTCCCTTGGTTTTGGAAAAGTGCTGCAGCAAGCAACCCCACTGCGATCGTGAAGCTCCCTAAGTCAAGCCGGAGAGGCGGCGCAGCTCCGAGAATGCTGGGAAGAGGCCCATGTTCGGAGTTTGGTCCCTGTAGGAGTACAGCTGCAAAACCAGACGGGGAAGGGCCCTGTGCCAAAGTTTGGAGGTGTAATGTAGGGGCCTTAATAATTAGAAGAGGGTTTTGGGGTGTATGATACTATAATTATAATATTGGCAATTATTTAGGCCCCTATATGAGTAGGTGAGGGTGCAGGTTGTTCTCCAAGCAGAGGCCAGTATACTGTAGGGGCCTAAATAGTTACCAAAACTAGTTTGGGGGTTCCTTATAATAATTATAATGGGCCCCAAAACCCTATTGTAATTATTATGGCCTCCAAATTACTGAGTCTATGTTGGGGTTTCCCCTTAGCCGTCGCCAGCGGGAAACAGTCCTTCTCTTCACATACGGTCTTGGGCCCCGAACTCCAAACCAGGCCCGACTTCACACAGGGCCAGCAATTCTGGGTTTGAGGTTTAGGCTTACATTTCAAGGAGTTTCCTCAGAGGTGTCAGTTCGCATGCTCTCCTGGCTGTAGGTTTGGTGAATGTTTGTTTGGCTAGACCGAGCTGCTGGAAATCGAGGCCTGTTGCAAAAAGGCTCAAGCCCCAACAAATAAATACTTCAAGACGAACACGCAGACACCACGGCAAACTTGAAAAGTCGATCGCAGCTGCAGGCAGTGATCGTGTTGACCTTATTTGCCGATATTAAGGTTTAGGTGTCAGTGGCTTACGGTTTTGGGTCTCTTGTCCGGGCGAAGTGGAAAGCCTGTCGCAAAAGGGTCTCTTGTGCTCACAGCCCCAAACCCTGCTCACCCTGTAGAAGCCCAAAGCCCTCAAAACCCGAATCCGAAACCCTGGCCTGGAACCAATTCCCCTAATTTTTCTGCAGCAGCTTTTAGCTTCCAGCTTTTCTCTCTGACTGAAGCCCGGCAATGCGGGCTCGTCCTACGAGGCAAAAAGTCTCGAACCTGGGAAAGCCACTCCCTTAACCCTAAGCCCTGAACCCTAAATCTCTGGTCCCTAAACGCTAAACCCTAAGCCCACCAGGTTGAGCAGGAAGCGCTCCTCTTCCTCGCGAAAAAGGAAGAAGGCCGGAAAGCTACTGCCATCAAGCGATCTCTCTCTCTCTCTCTCTCTGTGGGGGTTTAGGTTTATTGTAGGGCTTAGGGTTTATGATATGAAGTTTATGAGAGGCCTTTAAACTTAGACAAAAGAGTCTTCCTTCAACCATAAGGAGTCCAGCGGAATGTAATGAGGATGGTTCGGCTTTAGGTTGGTTGCGGGGACCTGACCGGGCGAGCTCCAAGCCTGTGGAGAAAGGTTATCCGGCTCTTTGGGAAGTGCTTGGCATGGCCGGGAGCCATCCCAGTTTTGTTTGACAAGAGCCCTACCAAAACATGCATTCCCACCTGGGTGCCCCATAACCCCTGAACTTTGCAACTTGAATCCTCAAAGCCCTAAGTGCAGAGGCGCGGCGAGGCTCCAGCGCATCTGCGCCCCAGAAGACGGTGGCCCCTCCGCCTGCGCCGGCGCAGGCCAAAGGGATCCGAGGGGCTCCAATCGAGCTTAGAGTCTCATGATAGGGCTTTCAATATATAGGGACCTTAATGATATAGGGACCTTAATAATTAGAATAGGGTTTGGGGTGTATTATACTATAGTCAAGTAAGGAACCCGCCCAAACCTCAGTCTAATTATTAAGGCCCCTACATTATAGCTTTATAGTTCTGCCGCCAGTTCACAGCTATGTGAAGCTTGGCTTCTCACGTTTTTTGCTCGGCGGGCTAGTTTGGGGATTTGGGGACACTCAAGACCCGGGTCTAGTTGCAGAAAATGTACATGAAAGCCTGAATGAGATGGAACAACGCCAAAGCATAAGCAGCCAATCACTCGACAAACCACGAGAAAGATTACAAGCAGCAATGGAACGAGCAGTTTCAGTGTTGTTGTAATGTGCGCCCAAACCAGGCGTAGTTTCTTGTGCCTTCGAAAACCCTAAACCCTAAGCCCTAAGCCCTAAACCCTCGAGCCCTGCACTTTTGCAAGAAGGACGGCGAGTCAAACGATCTGGCTCGCTTCCCGCCCTATAGCTTCGTCAGGCCCTGCAGTCTTTGATAAGACGGTTTAGGGTTTAGGGTTTAGGGGCTTGGGTTCCGGGCTTTGGGAAATGGGTTAAGGGAGTTTAGATAGGGCGGCTTTGGGATGTGGACCTTGGGCCATGAGCTCCAACTCGTGGTGGCAAGCATGCGCCTTGGCAAAAAGGTTCTCGGTGGTTTATCTTCCAACTTTTCGGGCCTGAGGGGCTCTAGACCTCAGGGTGTGGAAGTTATGCTTGTGGGCTTGGGGACTGTGGGTTTAGGGTTTCGGAGTATGTCGGGTGTACAGCCCGTCTAGGGCCGCAGCAGGTTCGGGATTTCTGGCTCCGATGAGGGTTTAGAGGATGTGCTGAGTCGGCTCAAAGGCTGCCAGGTGTTCCTTGGGTTTTAGGGTTTAGGGTTTTAGGGTTTTAGGGCTGATTCCGGGTTCAAAAATAGGGGTTTAGGGCTTAGGGACTTAGGATTGCTGTTTTACTTTTGAGGGTCTAGAGCCTAGGGCTCAGGGTTCAAGAGCTGGGATTGATGACCAGGCTGTTGGTTACTTTAGGGATTAAGGTCTAGGGTTTAGGGTTTAGGGTTTAGGGATTATAGGGTTAAGGGTTCAGGGCTTAGGGTTGAGGGTTGAGGGTTAGTTTAGAGTTTTAGGATTGAAAGCTTACTTTGAGGGTCTAGTAGGGCCACAGGTTCAAGGATTATTCATGAGTAGGATTGAGGGTGAGGCGGCAGGAGTTAAGGGAGCAGTATCAGAACATGCTGTCCATATTGGGCTGAACCACGCCAATAGCAGCCGCAGATTGATGGTAAGCCTGGTAAGAGCAGAGGACAATACAACGTAATTGTGTCGTAACAGATCGGTTGACCCTTTTCAAACCCAGCGACGACTCAGCCACTCAACGGTGGTGCCACTCGCAGCCCTGGTCCTTAAGCGTTTGCAGCCACGTCCTTTGGCACATGGTGCGAGACTTCCGGTACCCTGCGGAGGAACCCTAAACCAACCCCAAACCCCAAACCCTAAACCCTAAACCCTAAACCCTAAACCCCAAACCCTAAACCCTAAACCCTAAACCCTAAACCTTGCTCCGCCCGCACGGGCAACGGATGCTCAAGTCGCTCCGCACTCGGCGTGGCACCGGGCCTTGATCCCCAGGCTCTGCATCAGCACCGGCCGATAGCGCTGGAGGTTTAGGGTTTAGAAGCCTAAGGCTTAAGGTTTAGAAGTTTAGAAGTTTAGAAGTTTGGGGTTTGGGGTTTGGGGTTTAGGGTTTAGGGTCGCGCAAGTCAAACTGGACAGTTGAGGAACTCGCCTTGGAAGCCCTTTGTTGCTGAGAACTCATCGATGCACGATGCATGGCTTGCACAAGACCCGAATCACCAGCAGAGGAGGGTGTTTAAAAAAGCTTCTTCTGTTTTCGTTTAGGGTATTTAAAAAAGCCTCTTCTGTTTTTGCTTAAAAAACCCTCTTCTGGCTTTTAACAGACCTTCAAGCGTTTTTTGTCATTTGTGAAAAGCCCAGCAGCTCAGGCTTGACACAGTTGAGACAAAGGGGGTTTAGGGCTTGGGGTTTAGGGCTTAGGCAAGTTTCGAGTACGGGCCGTGCCAGCTGCGAGCATCAGCGCGCAAACTTGATGTTCCTCGTTGTCTACGGAAAGGTTAACCTTTGGGACCATATATTTATTGCAGGACCCCAGAGAGGCTAAAGTGGCTAAAGGTTACCTGCTCTACCTACTCTACTACTGAGTATTTGTGTCGACGGCTAGGCTCTTCTCATGCAGTCCGTCTCAAGAACCCTAAACCCTAAACCCTAAACCCCCAAACCCTAAACCCTAAACCCTAAACCCTAAACCCCAAACCCTAAACCGTCTCAAGATGCCACGACAAGTTTCAACCGAAGAAGCCGCCTCAACCCTGAACCCGAAACCCTAAACCGTGGCTTTATGGGGTCTACACCCTAAACCCTAAACCCTATAAGCCGTGGGTTTATGGGGTCTACACCCTAAACCCTAAACTCTAAACCCCTAAACCCTAAACCTTAAACCCTAAACTCTTACACCCTAAACCCTAAACTAGACTCTAAACCCTAAACCCGGGTTTAGGGTTTAGGGTTTCAGGCACGAACAAATGGGTGCCCGCGCGGGGCGGTCTCGGGCACCGAACGTGCCAGGCGGCAACGTGAGGCCTAGGAGGGTCGGGGCTTGGGGTTTAGGGTTTAGGGTTTAGGGTTTAGGGTTTAGGGTTTAGGGAAAAGGGTTTAGGGTCTAGGGGTTCGGGTTTAGGTTAGCTCCCCCCGGTCTACTTGGAGGGTCGGGGAACTTAGCAAGAGGCAAGAAGTAGACTTATACGTAGCCTAAAGGGACTCTAATTGGGGGTATGATACTTATAAGTCTACCTTAAGAACCCAAAACCTACTTTTTGTAGGGTCCCTATAAATCCCATATTAGGGTTTATAATAGGAACCTACAAGAAAGTGGGTTTCGGGTTCTTAAGGTAGAGCATAACTACTTGCTGCATCCCTAAACCCTAAACCCTAAACCCTAAACCCTAAACCCTAAACCCCGACCCTTTAAATAGGAGGGAACGGAGACTCCAAAGCCACGGGCTTGCAGAAACGAATTGGGGTTTAGTGTTTGGGGTTTAGTGTTTGGGGGTTTAGGGGTTTAGGGTTCTAGGGTTTAGGGTTTAGGGTTTAGGGTTTAGGAGTTCAGGGTGTAAATAGGGTTTTGGAGGCTAGGGTTTGGTTGTTTAGAGGTTTAGGGCTTAGACTCTTTCGGTTTCCACGTGCTGATAGGGGCTTTGGGGCCCCCTGGCAATACAGGGTGCCTCAACATCTTCGCGGCTTTGGGGGTGGAGGATTGAACGCCTTTTGATTTCAGGTTTAGGGTTTAGGGTTTAGGGTTTAGGGTTGTTTAGGGTTTTTGATTTTGTGGGCTCAGGCTTCCAAGGTCTTCGGTTGGGCTTGGGGTTTGCAGTTTCAGGCGCGCTTTTATTCCCCAGCTCCCTGACTTTCTGAACCATGTCGTCTGCTCCCGGACACCTGATGCCCAGATTTTCAGAGAAAAAACCCCTGAACCCCAAAGATTGCGGGCCTAATGTAGGGGCCTGAATAATCAGAATAGGGTTTGGGGGGGTATAAAATACTATGCTTATAACAATAGTTAGTAATTGGTAGTTTATTTGGGAGTTTCCGAAAATGGGGGGTACCTTATTTTGGGGTCCTTATAATAAGGATCCTATTATTTGGGGTACTATATTCGGGTTCCCTGTTTTCGGAAACCCCCATTTGGGCCCCTATATTAAATGCAAGACCTGCAACTCCTACCTCGAAGGCATCAACTCTAGACTTCAAACCCTGAACCCTAAGCCCTAAACCCCGAACCCTAAACGAGGGTTTAGGGTTTAGGGCAACCAGAGCTTACAAAAACAAAACACCCCATGAGCCTGAAAATGGGCCGTGGCAGCGCAAAACCCTGAGCTCGAGACCAACTTTCGGCGCGTCAACTCCGCTTGCTTGGCGGCTTCCTTCGGAGTTTAGGGTTTCTTAAGGGTCCTTCGAAGAAGGTAGGTTTGGGCGTTGGGGACATTGCGCTTGCCTGGACCCCAAAAGTCTGTAGAATTATGGCCGTTGGCCATATTCTAACTACTTTTGTGGGTTTAGGTGTAGGTTTAGGGATATGATTAGCAGAATATCCCCGAACCATGTGATGTACTAGAAGGACCCTGAGACAACAACGACTGCCTGTGGCCGGGGCACTCAGTAACACTCCGGATATGCGGCGAGTTCCTCTAGCCACGGTCGTCCCTAGGCCCCGCACTTCCCGAGAAAACCCAAAACCGAAAGCCTCATCCTGCTTTAGGGTTTAGGGTTTAGGGTTTAGGGTTTAGGGTTTAGGGTTTAGGGTTTAGGGTTTAGGGAACCCCTGCATCTCGATTTTGTGGCTTGGACATGCCCTTCTCAAAGGGCATGCCCTCCACAATCGGGGCTCCAGCAGCGAATCGTCAAGCTGCGATACACTCGAGGTAGCATTGTCGCTAGATACTTCCGCCTATGCGCTATTCTACAGCAAACCCTAAACCCTAAACCCTAAACTACGCCCCAGAGTCAAACATGGTTGCAGGGCTTGGCGTGGACTGCATTGAAGACATCAAGTTCATCTTGCTCGTGAGTTTCACCAAAGTGGGCTTCGGTTTAGGGCTTCAGGGGTGTAGGGTTTAGGGTTTGTCAGCTGTTTTGAAGCTGACCCAAGCTGTACTGGACCACGCAGCTCTGCGAATCATAGCTCACCCAGGGAGGTAACCACTCATGAACTTTAGCAAACTGCTCCTGGACCAAATCCTGCATCAGCCTCGAGAAAGAACAGACCTTAGATCCCGTAGCTTAGAGAAGTAATGCAGGGTTGTGCGTAAGCAGTGTTGTAGCCTGGAGCCCTAATTCATGAACCCTC